TGCTTCTCCCTCTCATTCCCCCTTTGTGCTCTCTGTCAAATAAATAAGTAAAATCTTAAAAAAAAGAAAAACTCATACAGTACTTACCAAAAAAAAATTCCAACCCTCTGATTTGGTAATCCTGCTCCTGAAAACTGGTTCTAAGAGAGGGCTCAATTAAATTCACAAAGATATTTGCTATAGGTAAATCTATAATATCAAAATCTAGAAATACTCTAAATACCCAACATTGAGAGAATTTAATAAACTACAATAGAAAAAGAAATATTAAATAGCATTGAAAATAACTAGGGTAATTTAGAAAAATAGAAGAATGTTTTGAAGAAAGTATGATACCAAAGGGAATATGAGTTTTTAATTCTAAATAAATAATTTACTCACATAGGTAAAAATGCATTAATACATGGAAAGTTCTATTGTGATACAGTGGTAGGATTACTGATGGGTTTTTGTTCTCTGAAATTATTTAATCCATTAATACTTTAAGGTTTTAAAAAACTTAGATGCTAAATGAGGATCATTCTGAATGGACAGGGTTGGGGGATTTCGTAAGGAAAGGATTTCATGAAACAGAAATATTAAAACGGGAACTCCATTCAGGGAGACCCTAAAGAAAATCAATATAGTGAAGAAAACAGGAGTTTTCAGTGGAAACAACTGAAAGCAATTATGTTACTCAGGTTGAAGTGGGGTCAAGGACATAAAATAAAAGGTCAGTGGAAGACAGATTCAGTATTGGGTAAATAATTCATGAAGTCCACAAAAGAATATAAGTTGAAGAATGACATGAAAGAAAATTTCTCTCACCAAAATATGAGAAAAGACAATGGCAACAGGATTTATCTGAGAAGCATGTAGAATAAAAAGTAGAAAGGTCACGGTAATCAACCTGTGTGGTTTATGAGGAACAAGAAGAGACACACAGATTCAAGATATAACAGAAAAGGCTATGCAATTTATAGGGGAAAAAAGGGAAGGAATCAAATATGAAGCAGTCATCTAATAAACTTCCTTCTATGCACATAAAGCACATTTCAACTTATCAGCATCATTTTGTATTACCAGCACCAGACTTAAAACCACCAAATTAAAAATTATCTCTTTCAACACTAAAGTGCACAGTGTGTATGTGTATGTTACTTTCCATTAAACAGAAAGAGAAAATATAATTATGTACATATGTGCTTACATATTTAAAAAACATAAAAACAAATAAAAACTAATTAAAGGGAAAAAAAAGGTTATTAAAAATGTTCAATCCCATTTGAGCCCTGGGTGGCTCAATCAGTTAAGTGTTGGACTTTAGCTCAGGTCATGATTTCAGGGTCCTGAGATCAAGCCCCACTTAGGGGACAGTCTGTTTGTCCCTCTCCCTCTCTCTGCCCCTTTCCCCCACTCGTGTTTTCTCTCTCTCTCTCTCTCTCTCAAATAATCTTTTTAAAAAAATATTCAATCCCACATCTCCCGAAAACAATCAGATTTAAATCTGATCAAGCTTCTTGATTTAACTACCAGTTTTATGGAAGGAAATACATGGAACAGGAGCACTTGTTAAACCACTCCATGGGGATAAAAATCAGTAAAATCTAGACTATAGGAAACTCTCATGAAAAATGACAGATTTCTTCAACAAATAAACTGCAAAGGGGGAAAAAAAAAAGGAAGATAGACTTATAAAGTTTAAAAAGACATAACCATATCAATCAATGTATGGACTTTGGATCCCAATTAAAATTTTTTTTAAGCATGATCAAAGAAACTTGGATAAGAACTAAATATTTTATTATATCAAGAAATTATTGTTAAAAATCCTAGGTGATAGTGGCATTGTGAGTTGTGATCTTTTTTTCAGGGATACATAGTGAAGTATTAATAGTTGAAATTCTATAATGTCTGGGATCTGCTTCCAAACATTCCAGGTCAATGGTGTGTGGAGGGAAATAGCATGTATAGATGAAATAAGACTGACCATATACTGCCTATCTCTGAAGCTGGGCAATGGGCTCATGGGGGTTCATTCTACTGGTCTCTCTACTTACATGTGATTGGAATTTTCCATAATAAAAAAAGTTTTTAAGTCATCCTTCAAACTTCTATTTATTTTTTTTTTAAGATTTTATTCATTTATTTGAGAGAGAGAGAGCACAACCAAGAGAGCACAAGCAGGGGAAGCAGCAGAGGAGAGGGAGAAGGAAACTCCCCCCTGAGCAGGGAGCCTGATATGGGGCTTGATCCCAGGACCCTGAGATCACAACCTGAGCCAAAGGCAGCCATTTAACTGACTGAGCCACCGAGGCACTCCTAAATCATCCTTTAAACTTTCAGATGACCAACCCCAAATAACCACTCTCACTGGCAAAATTTTAAGAATTCCATATTTGAAATATTAAGGGGTTCCTTTCCATCCCCTTGGCATAAACCAACCATAAGAACATACCCCCTACCTTTGGAACCATCTCTACACTTTTAAACATGGAATCACCTACCAAGTTGCTGCCATTAAGACTCTTCCCCCCCTTTACTACCAGCTGCCCTTACAAGAATAACCAGACAGATACATCAACTCTGAAATAGCCTGTCTCTAGTCCCCGACAAAAGTAGACACTGAATGCCCTTGTCCCCCAGTTAGCCACACTGAAGCTGCTACAGAAGCCCTACAGTCAGAATGACAGCTCTAGTCTGTATATTACCACTTCCACTAATATTTACCTTTTTTAAAAGGAATTGCTTTAATTTTTTTGGCACTAGTAATAGCTAAATTAAATATCTCAAAGACTCAAAGGAATCATAGTTTCCCTGAGTATCTGCATTCATGAGTTTATTTTTATAGCTCTCACGTTCTATTGAATTCCAGTGAATTTCCAAGAAACCTCTGAGATATTCTGTTCAATTCCCCAATAACTACCTGAAGCTCAAAAAGATACAGAATACTATAAGAAGCAAAGGAGAAAACAGGGAAGTCCTAAGTTCCCAAGAGTTTCAGAGGATACCTAGAAAAAACAGTGTGAGAAATAGAAGAACGGAATATTCATTTTGCCTAATGATACTTCATTAGTAGTGGGATTCCTGGGTGACTCAGTCTATAAGTGTCTGCCTTTGGCTCAGGTCATGATCCCAGGGTCCTGGGGCAGGGGGGTGGTCTGCCTCTCCCTCTGCCCCTCCCTCTGCTAGGGCGCGCTCTCTCTCTCTCTCTCTCAAATAAATAAATAAAATCTTTAAAAAAAAAAAAAAAAGATATTTCATCAGTGGCCAAGAGAACCCCCCCTTTTATCTCAAGTAATAACATTTTCCTTTGGAAGAACAGTAATTCTTCTAATAGTTCAATTAAACTTCAACAAACTGTGTGATGAGTACTGGATGGAAAAAATAATTATCAGTGGATGATAGTTTTGATACAAGGATCACTCAGGTAAGGACAGAGGTGGCCGTCCCTTCTCCCACCTTCAAATTTTAAAATGATGAATTTGGATCATGTTTGTAACTAACATTTTCAACAAACTTTCTGTATAAAAATTATTATAGTTTACTGCTATGCAAATAGAAAAGTTGGAATTTTTTTTAATTACTTAAAATAACAAATAAAAGAAAATTTCAAGACTACTATTTTCTGTCCTTGATTAAGACATTAAATAGGTATGAGAGCCAGGAAATAATGACAGCTGCTTTCACATCCTAGCACTGGAGCTATAAAGTAAAGGAATACTGATGGCGTCGCATCTATATAGCTTCTTCCTTGCCTACGCAGCTGCAGAGAACACACTAAACATTACTAAAACAATGATGAAAAATACTTCTGTTTTCCTATGCTAGTGCTTGCATTCACTACTAGTTCATAAACTAGGACACTTTCAAGTCCCACTCTATCTTTAGCTATGTATTGTTCAAGTAAAATTCAATGAAAACTAAAACTAAAAAGTTGTATTCCATATTGTCTCTGTGCTCCCTTTGATAGACCTCAACCATGAGTGTGATTTCTGTACAGTACATGCTTCTCTCCCATCCCCATCTTAAAACTCACTAGCACTAAGAAAAAGATTTCTGAAAGTATGCTATCTGGCTTTCATAGGGAGGAAGACAAAGATATGGAAGAGAGCTAAACTTATTTAGGCTAATATGGAACTAAGATTTCCACATTTCCTTTCCTCTGGAATTACTAAGAAGCAATTGTTCTTCAGTTCAGCCTTAGCTCCTCTTAATATCCACCATACAGAAAAACTTAGGAAGACTGAAGAAAGGGTGAATGACATGTCCTTGAACTCATCCTCTTCCTCCTGCTTCTTATCATTGGGTTACTTACTCTGAAAACGTTGTATACTTAATGGTTCCCCTAAGAATCTTTTTTTAAAATTTTTTTTTTTAATTTGGCAGACAGAGATCACAAGTAGGCAGAGCGGCAGGCAGAGAGAGAGGGAGGGGGAAGCAGGCTCCTCGCTGAGCAGAGAGCCTGATGTGGGGCTGAATCCCAGGACCCTGAGATCATGACCTGAGCAGAAGGCAGAGGCTTTAACCCACTGAGCCACCCAGGCACCCCCGCCTAAGAATCTTGAGTAAGACTGACTCAAAGAACTGTATGGGTCCACTCATACACAGATTTATTCAATAAATACAGTACAGTATGAGAAATGTATTTTCTCTTCCTTATGATTTTAATAACATTTTCCTTTCTCTAGCTTACTTGACTATAAGAATACAGTATTTGATGGCTACAACATATGAAATACATTGATTGTTAATCAGTAAGGGTTCTGGTCAAAGTAGGCTATTAGTAGTTAAATTCTGGGGGAGTCAAAGTTATATGTGGATTTTCAACTGTGCCAGGGGTCAGTGTTCTAACCCCTGTGTTGCTAAAAGTCCATTATAATTTCAAGTTCCTCATTTAAGAATTGCTGATATAAAAAGCAGGGATCCTCATACCCAAAGCAGAAAAATATACCCAGCTGGTTGTCTTCAAAATCCCCATACACCACAGGTACAGAATTACACGGCAGGTCACCACTCACCTTGTGCTACTGTTGACATGACCACGGATGGTGTGGAAGATACCACAGCTGTCACTGCAACTGTGTTAGGAATAGGTGATGGTGTAGAACTGCTGCTGCCACTGCTGCTACTACTGACCAGGGAGGATTGTGAAGCAGTTATAACCACTGGTGGCTTCTGGGTTGTGGAAGCAATGACTGAAGTTGGTACAAGCTTAGTGACTGCTGCATAGTTATGGGATTTGGAGAGAATGTTGGGCACGAAGGTTGAGCTTGGTGATGTGGTCACTATAATAACCTAAGGAAGGAAAAATAAGTTATTTTTATGAACCCACTATACTACTAACGTATCTAGACTCATAGTTACATATAATCCAAAAATAGCTTATGAAATATGAAGAAACAATTCACCAAAGAAAAATACACAACTAAAAATATGTGTAAGCTTTCCTCTACTAGTAACCATCAAAATATGTTTAAAAGAAACAATTTTTACCAACCAAGTATTTTTAAAAATAATGTTCAATGCTGTATAAGATACCGTGAAATAAGCATTTCAATATACTGCTTAGGGAGTATAATACGTACAATCTTTCTAGAAAGTAATTTGGATAATCATTCATTTATAAATATTTGTTGAGCATCTACTATGTGCCAGGCATGGTTCTAGATGCTGGGGATAGTGGAATGAACAAAGCAGACAAAGTTCATACTTTCATGGAGCTAAATTCTTATAGGCGGGGAAGAAAACAATAAACAAATTAGAAAATATATGTCACATATATGTCATATAGAGATAAATGGAACAGACACTAAGTAGGGTAGGAAATAAAGAATATTGAGAGTACTGTATTATTGTTTATACAGGAGTCCATGAAAATCTCTCTGATAAGGTAACATTTGAGCAGAAGCTAGAAGCAGGGGTGTGAACCATGTTGCCACCTTGAACAAGTGCTCCAATGGCATAGAAAACAGCAAATTAAAAGGCCCTGAGGCAGAAGCAAGCTTGGTATCTTCAATAAACTTCAAGGACTTAATGAATGGGACCGGAATTTAGGACACAGAGAGTAGTAGGAGACAGAATCAGGGATGTAATGGGAGACCAGATGATATAAAATAATGTTGATGCTATATACCCTTGATATGATAAATGAAAATGGCACTTTATCAAAACCCCCAAGCCCTAGTCTAATGATGAGAAAACATCAGACAAATTCCAATAGTGGAGCCTCCTACAAAATATCTGACCAGTATTCTTTAAAATACTGGTCAAACGAAGTCTTGAGAAGCTGTCACAGACAAGCGAAGTCTTGAGAAACTTTCACAGCTGAGAGGAACCTAAGAAGACATGACATGTAAATGTAATGTGGTATCCTGTAAGAGAGAAATCTGAACAAACTATGGACTTTGGTTAATCTTAATGCATCAATACTAGTTCATTAATTACAACAAAGTACCACAGTAATATAAAATGTTGAGAACAGTGGAAACTGAGTATAGGGTATATGAGAACTCTCTGCACTATCTCCTCAATTTTTCTGTAAATCTAAAACTATTCCAAAAAAATTTTTAAAAAAGCATTATTGTCTGCTAGATGAAGAGTACAGTAGGGCAGAGGTAGTAGAAAGAGGGAGACAATTAGGATGCTCCTGGAATAAAGCAAGCAGAGATGATCGTGACCAAAGTGTTTGTAGCAGAAGTGATGAAAAGTAAACAGATTCTGAATATACTTAAAGATAAAATGAAGAGGATTTGCTCATAGCTTGATACGGGGAATGGAGGGGAAAAAAGAAGCAGGAAAGAGACTTCAAAGTTAGCCTGTGTGGCTAGAAAAGTGTAGAAGACAGGGAGGCAAAGAATTTCAGATGAAAAAAACACAACAGAGCAAAGGACCTATAGTTGGAATCAGCATGATGTATTTAAAAACAAAGAAAGTCAGTGTAGCAAAAACTATATAGAGTAAGGAGAGGTTGGCAAAGTATGGAGAGGCCAGGTTATACTTATAAGCTAGAGTAAAGGATTTAAATTTTATACTAAGTACAACAGGAAGCCATAGGGGGATTTTTAAGTGAGGAAACAACAAAATTTGATTTATATTTTAAAAGATGATTCTAGCTGCTATGTGGTGAGTGCCAAAAATGGAAGCAGTAAGACTAGTAAATATACTGTTGCAGTAGAGCAGGCACGAAATGATAGAGGCTGCTTGGACTAGGGTATTAATAGTGGAAATAAAGAGAAGTGATCACATGTAGATTCTTTTAAGAGGTAGAGTCAATAGGACTTGTTGATGTAGAGAAACTATAGGCCTAAGGAAAATAACATAATCAAGATGAACTCCTAGAGCTAATGTGCATTAGCTAAATTTCAATCTCCCCACAATTCTGTAACACAGACACTATTATTATCCCCATTTTACAGCTGAGAACACAAAAATCATTTACAAAACTATAGTATCACAGTTTTATTCTGGGTGGGCATAATGGTGGTATGGTGATACCCAAAACAGAGCAGAGTTTCTTTTTCTTCTTTCACCAAAATTCCCTCTACCTATCTAGGGCAGAAAACTGTTTTGAAAAATCCAAAGAAATTAAGGGAGAAATTCTCTTTCATTTTCACATTAGTCCTAAAGAAGGCCTGATATTACATCAGTTGGTCAAAATTTACTGAGTATGTCTGCACTCAATCCTGACAACTAAAAGATGACTATATCATCACTATTTTAACTATATCATCATTATTATACATTTGAAGTGTCATGGAGAATTATAAGACGTAACTACATATCCACTACTTTAAGCAGTTTGTTAATTATTTGATGAGTTTAGACAGATATCTAAGTCTTGACCAGCAAACATCTATATAGAGTTGACCAGCATACTTCTAGATAGACTTAGCAAATATCTATATAGCATTATTACAAAAACAATCAAATGCTATCATATAAACTGAGAAGAAATAGACCAAAATGGTAAAAAGACCAGAAGTTTAAGAGTCAAATGAACCTAAGCTTAATTCTGCTTTGGCCACTGACAAATGGCAGGCCCCCAGACAGGTTAAAAATCTCTGGACTCCTATTTTCATCTATAAAATAGGGATAATAATACCTACCTTGCAAATCATTACAAGGACTGAATGAGATAATGATGTGAAGCATCTAACATAGTGCTAGGCACATAGCAGGTGGTCAATATTTGACAGTCAACAAACAGTAGTTATTATTACTACTACTATTCGGTAAAGGTGTTATGGATCAATTCAATCTGGAGATATATTTTATGTATTCTTTTTTTGTTCCACTAAAAAATGTTACATATCTTTTATATATATACATATAAAATGTTATATATCTTTTCCCCAAATTCTGATACCCCTGAGAATCCAAAGAACTCATAGCTACTACCACAGTCAAACCAATTATAGTGGTAATGGTAATTAGGTTTCACATCTTCACATTTGCCAACTCTGAACTCATAGTAGTAGCTTCCTGGAGCAGCGTTTATAAGGACTCTGTGACACAGGTAAGGATTCACCAAGGCTTGGCAGGAAAGTATGCCACAGTCAATTAACAATGTCTGTCATGGGCAAGGAAGGGGAAGCATTCACACTTGTGTCAAATAATTCCAATGTTTAAAAACTAGAGTATCCATGTAGGCTTCTAACATTAAGACATAATTTCAGCAAAATAAATCTAGAAGTCCTTAAGAGCATTTTTTAGGCTATAGATACGAATGATAAAATATATTTTAAGATTTCAGTCTGCATGTTGATTTCTGATCTGAAAAGGGGTTATCCAAAATTGGAGATCCACCTTAAAGAAAATGCACTTGTACTTCAAAGTTATGAATTACAACAGGGGAAATAAAGGGATTTTGAAACCAAGTGAACCAAACAGTGTTTATTCAGGCCATAATTCAAATTACTGACCTTCTAGCACTCACAAAAACTCCTTAAGAGTGCTGGGACTTGCACCCTAAGGATAAAATGAAAAATATCAATCAAGCACATGAAAGCATAAAGCTATATTTTGTTGCTTTTTTCATATAAGTGCTGTACCAATGTTAATCTTAAAATGAAGGCACCATATTAACATAGGTGGAAATTTGTCTACCCTGAAAATATATGACCTATTTGAATTTGAATCAAGTCCACAAATTCATAAATAATTATACTTAATGTAAAGTCACTTTACCTAAAATAATTCCTAAGTTGACTTACATAGGATTTGTGAGAAATCAAAGGTGAATGCAGTAATGAAAACAGCCTTACAGAGATTTCAAGAAAGTCCAATTACCCAGCAGAAGGAAAACAAAATACAAACAAAAATCCCAAAGAAGATCTATTAGTGCTACCATACTCAGCCTGTCCAAGACGTAACAAAACCAATGGCACTGGGTACACATGAAATCAAAGAGTATAGTTTTGCCTCTGGAACATAGTAGATACTCAGTAAATATTTGTGGAATGAATGAGTCTTATTTTTAATTTAATTTGTTTTAAATGTTTATTTTTAAAGTACAATAGGACAAATCTAAGGTTTTGAGCTTGGAATCTCCTGGTATGGTTCATATGACCGTGGAGATAAATATGCTTATAAGCATCATATGTTGACAACCTCGACTACCCATTCTCAATTGGCAATTCCGAAGAAAAAGCAAAAATAAAGATATGATAAAGTCATTGAATCAAAACAAAACAAAAAACGCCAACTTCACTTACAGGTGAACCTTCCATCTTTTACAAGTATTTTTATCTATGTCTATCTTCCAAAGAAGATTTGAAAGTTAAAAATGTTAAGGTGACATTTACTAAGCATTCATCATATGTGCTATGTTAAGTACTCTCCATGAATCATCTCGTGTAATTTTCCTGATAACTCTAGGAAGTAACTACTATGATCTTTGTTAGATACAGAAACTGAGGCTCAAGAGAGCTGGCAGAAATCAGAACTAGGAATCAGATCTATTTATTCATTTTTTCATTCATTCATTCAACAAACATTAATAAACACCTTCTATGAGCTATTCTAAATACTAGGAAATACAGTGATGAATAAGATAAAGTTTCTACCCTCAGCAACATATGAGAAATAGGAAATGAATAAAAATATAATATGATACTAACTGGTTATAAGTATAATAAATAAAAATAAAACGAGTAAGGAAACAAAAAGACATGATGGGAGATGGGTGCTCTTTCAGATATAACTCTGCTACACTGGGATGCCTGGGTGGCTCAGTTGGTTAAGCGTCTGTCTTCGGCTCAGGTCATGATCCTAGGGTCCTGGGATCCAGTCCCGCATCAGGCTCCCTGCTCAGCGGGGAGCCTGCTTCTCCCTCTACCTGCTGCTCTGCCTACCTGTGCTCTATCTCTCTGTCATAAATTTAAAAATCTTAAAAAAAAAACAACAAACTTTGCTACACTATTTCTTAAATACCAAATTAAATGAGTAGTTAAGAAGGGGGAAGACAGAGGCGCCTGGGTGGCTCAGTGGGTTAAAGCCTCTGCCTTCGGCTCAGGTCATGAACCCAGGGTCCTGGGATTGAGCCCCACGTCAGGCTCTCTGCTCAGCAGGGAGCCTGCTTCCCTTCCTGCCTCTCTGCCTACTTCTGACCTCTGTCTGTCAAATAAATAAATAAAATCTTAAAAAAAAAAAAAAAGAAGGGGGAAGATAGAAGAATTACAGACAAGTTAAGTCCCAGCAAAAAAGGGGCGGGGGGGCAGTAAAAAATTACAGTAAGCAGACTTATAAACTCATAGAGGAGGCTGATAACACTTAATATAGGGTTAGTCCAGAAAGCATTAACTGTATTATATTATATGAAAAGTGATATTCAGAAGGATTACCTTGGAGTCATCAAAAACAAATGCAAAAACCATGTTCAGTTTAACATTTAAAAAGTTATCAAAAATAGTCAATTTCTACATATTAAGGGGTAAGCTTCAGTTAATTGATGAATTCATTTGGAAGAGCTCATTCTCAATAGTGCAAATAAATAAAACACTGCCTTACATAAAATACTGGCAAGGAAAGAGAGCTAACATTTTTTTGAGTATATAGCTATCGTTGTACTTTAAAATACCCAATCTCATTTAATCCTCACAGTAACTTTTTAAGATTGGCATTATTCTCATCTCACTAATGGGAAAACAGATTCAGAAAGACCTAATTTATCTCAAGTCATACTAGAAGAGCTGGGGTTCCAACTCAGGCCTCTCTGACTACAAAAATTCTTGCTTGATTTTAACACTGTACCATAATGCCTCATCCTGAAAGTGAAAACAGAATTACATTCCACAGATCAGCTCATTATTGCTTACAGTTTACTAAGAAAATAATTTCTCATGTATTATGTAATGATATCTTTCCAGGAAACTCAAGGAGGTTCTTTAAATGAAAGTTATTGTGTGTCTGAGGGTTCAAAGATAGGAAAGATCATCTGCGGAAGATAAGAACGTACCTCTCCCTTCCTTCCCCCAAATCCCTCTAAAATGATATGAAGGGATGTTTTTTCTAAAGGGGAAGAGGCATGTAAACCCCTAAGGTCAAAATGGAAAGAAGATAACAGCTGTGAAGTTTTGTAAAGTAGACAACAGATAAGTAGTAATCAATCAAGCATAACCTCAAAGTGGAAACAGAGAACCCCAGAAAGACTCAGGACTTGAGAGCAGGAGATATGTCTTAAGTGGGAGTAAAAGTAGCACTAGAGAGAGGAAAATTAGTTGAAAATCTACTTAAGCAGCATATATATCTACAGCTATCCTCCCCCACCCTAAAGGAAGATTAGGAATTTAGTCTCTTGAGGGAGAGATTGAATCCAAGGGAATTGCTAAAACTGGGCCAAGGGAGCCGAGTACTGTGCTACAGAGGGGTTAAGTGAAGTCTATATACTGAATGGTCAGAATACCCAGCCCATTCCCTCCATTTACTCCCAAAATACTAGCAGACTGGCTAACTATTCTAAGCAGGAGACTGGAAAATTCTTCTCTGGGGAAATCTGACCAGTCCATAATAAAGCCATAACGAGACTGATAACTGATAGAGGTAAAGGGGTAGTAGGTTTTTCTCAACAGAACAGCCTAGGTAGGTCTACAATGAAAGCCGCCAGCCAACATGCCCCACCCTATACATACAGCTTTCTATCAGTTTTTAGCGCCCATATTCATATATAATGGACAGCTAGCCAGCATTTAAGAAAACTCTGAAATGAAACAGAGATCAAAACAAATAGATACAAGGAACTTACAGTTAAGAGAGAAAACATAAAAGAATAAAACATCAAAAAAAATCACAGATATCATCAGGATACAGTGATTTTACTAAAGAACAGGATGCTGTCTGTATTTTTTTTTATTTTTTTAAGATTTTATTTATTTGACAGAGAGAGAGAGATCACAAGTAGGTGGAGAGGCAGGCAGAGAGAGAGAGAGGAGGAAGCAGGCTCCCCACTGAGCAGAGAGCCCGATACGGGGCTCGATCCCAGGACCCTGGGATCATGACCTGAGCTGAAGGCAGAGGCTTTAACCCACTGAGCCACCCAGGCGCCCCAGGATGCTGTTTTTTAAAAAAGGAACTTTTAGAGATCAAGAAAGAGTTACCAGAAGTTTAAAGTATGATAGCTAAAAGGACAAATCCAGAAAAGTAGTGAAGAATAACATTAAAGGATAAAGAAAATAATACTTAAAGAGCATTTACTATGTGCTAGGCTCTATTCTAACAGTTTTATATTTATTATCTTATTTATTTACACCCCAAAATCTTATAGGTTGTTTTCCTTGTTTTCAAATGAGAAAACTTAATTCCAGAATTTAGTTTCCCCACGGTCACAAAACTGGTTAAGTGGCAAAAACTGATATTCAAATTCAGAAGTCTAGTTCCAAAAATCCAGGCTTTTAACCACTACTATAGTAGAAAGAAAAAGCAAACAAATAGAAAATGGGAACGAGAAAAGAAAAGCAAAAGGATCGATCCAGGCAGTTCAACATCCTAAATAGTTGATCCAAAAAGAGAGAACAGAGAAAGACCTAGGAAATAATTCAAGAAATTTCCCAGAACTGAAGGATACAAGTGTCTAAAGTGAAAGGGACCACTGAGTATGCACCAATGGAAAAAATAAAGACCCACACCAAGAGAAATTACCTTGAAATTTCAGAATTCTAAAAGTTACCAAGAGTTTTCAAAGAGAAAAAGAGGAAATTAAAACGGCATTGAGCTTCTCAAAAGCAATACTGAAGGCAACAGCCAATGGAGCACTATCTTTAAAGTTCTCAGGGAAAATTACCTCCAACCTAAAAAATACTTTACCTAAACCATCAAGAAAGTGGGAGACTAAAATAAAGACATTTTCAGTCCACCATACAAGGTCTCCAAAACTTTACCTTCCATCCACCCATATACCAAGAAGCTACCAGAGGACGCTCCAGCAAATGAGTAAATAAACGAAAGAGGGTGATCAGCATGCTAGTGAAGGGAGACTCCAGAAATACAGGTGTGCAACAAGCCTTGGGTGCCATCAGCATCCAGATTAGTGTGGAAAGTTAGAGTGTTCTAATAACATACAACTGACAGAATACTGATGATCTGAACATACTAAGAAGAGTTTCGGAAAAGAACTAAGGATACCATACAAAGAATAAAAAAAAAAAGAAGGCAACAATAATTATTCACTTAATCATATCCTTCCTTTCTTCTATAAAACACCCACTTCTGACAACTTTGTTACTCTGGCAAAGTAAAAACTGAGTTCCTAAAGGTAAAGTTATCCATACACAGGTTAAAAAAATCTACATTTTCATTTTTTTCCCAAATGGCATTACAGTAATAAAACAGAACAAGTCTTAGAAGTATGACATCTGCTGGCTGTGTGACATTAGACAAGTCATTTGTCATCTCTGAACCTTGTTTACAAAAAGTGAATTAGTAATATCTATCCCAAAGCTTTCTGTGGAGAATTAAAGAAACCTGATTGTTCCCAGCATAATGCCAAGCACATAGTAAGCACTCAGTGCATGTTTGTTAAATCTGAATCATACTGACTGAAAGAGATGGAAACAGCAATTGGCAGACAGAGACTCCCTCTTTCACATACCTTCTGTGTTGTTGTGTTTGTCGTCTGTGTTGATGGTTTGGTGAAGGTTATTTTCACAGGAGACATGTGGGGTGGTAAGGAGTTGGCAATGCTCTGCATGATGTTGCTCATCTTGGGACTGCCACTCACAGGCACAGTGATAGTCTTTGAGACCGGAACAACAGCCTTTGGAACTTCCTTTAGGACAACAGGGGAGGAGCTAGAAGAATTTGTTCGCCTTCGTTTTCTGGGTTTTTCATCTTCATCTGAACAGCTAACACCTGAAAGGCAATGACAGTTTTGTTGTACTTATCACGATCTAACCCTGCATTTTATACTTCATTTTAAGCCTTTGTGTCATCAGCTGTCCTTTACCTCTCTCCCTTTGCCTCAAGCCCAATCAAACAGTAAGTCCTATCAATCCTCCCTCAGAATTTTTCTCTGAATACCTTTCCTTCTTTCTCTAACACTTTGGCTATGTCAGGCCTTCTTATCCCCAGCCTGTATTTTAGCAACCTCCTAAAAGGTGTCCATGCTTCCAATCACTCCAATTCAATCCTCCATCCTGCTGTCAGTTACAGAATCTTATATCTAATGGTGTCAATGCTTTGCCTTAAATCCTTAAGTAGTTTTTATCTCCCTACAAGAAGAGGCACTTAAATCATTACTACATCATTCAAGGTTCTACAGCTTTCCAAGAATACAAACACAAGTCTTAACTGCAGAGGTCCACTAATACGTGCTTTTTTTTGAGAAATATAGTACATTACTGTAAATGTTTCTCTTTCCTCTTATGATTTTCTTGGTAACATTTTCTTTTCTCTAGCTTACTTTATTGTAAGAATACAGTACATAACACATATACGAAATACATACTAGTCAACTGTTTATGTTACCAGTAAGACTTCTGGCCCACTGTTGACTATTAGTAGTTAAGTTTTTGCAGAGTCAAGTTATATGCAGATTTTTGACTGTACAGGGAGTCAGCGTCCCTTAGTCCCGCATTGCTCTAGGGCCAACTATACCCTATTCTACCCAACCCTGTGCCCCCTGTAATCCCGATACACTGAACTGCTCACGATTCCCCAAAGCCCTACCTTACCACATTCTACCCAACCAGACTCTCCAAACGCTATTGTTCTTTGGGGAATACTACCTACCAACAATGAACTCTTCATCATCCTGCAAATCATCTCCTCAGTGATGTTCTCCCTTACTCCTCTAAGCAAAACTAATCCACATCTCCTCTGAGCTTAAGCACTTTGTATATTCTCTTCTGTATCACTTACCCCACGGCACTGTAGCTGTTCGACTGCATATCTCCCATTATAAAGGGGCTCCCAGATGGCAATGACTAAGACTTATTGGTTTGTTTCCCTGGCAAGTGCCTTGTACATATGAAGCTAGATTAATGAATGATTCTATCTCCAACTGATGTTGCCTCTGTGACTTCTGAGAATAAAGCAATAAACTTCCCATTACTTTAAACAACATTTTATGTTTAAAGGTTTCATTGGGTTTGGGATTCACCCTCAATGTTTTAAAAAATGATTAAAAAGGAAAAAAAAAAGTAGATTGTGGGGCGCCTGACTGGCTCAGTCAGAAGAGCATACAATGATGTCAGGGTTGTGAGTTCGAGCCCCATGTTGGGTATAGAGATTACCAAAAACAAACAAACAAACAAAAAAACAGATCTCTTACAGTCACCTTGGCAAAATCTACAGAACTCAGATAGAAACTTAACAGTTCCAGATTCTTAGTTTTCTTCTTTATGAACTAAAGCCTCAATTATTTTTGCAGACTTTAAAAAAAGAAAAAATCAAGTGAGAAACATAAAACCTTGCAACATACACAGGAAATCTCTACAGAGCAGACAAAAATAAGTATACAGCATGACTTATGGAATTGTTAATAAAATATAACTCCTTATACAGTTATACCTTCATTTTTAGACTTTAATTTAAATAAGGCTGACAATGACCTAAAATCATTCCTAAAACAGTAACTCTACCTCTAAAAGTTACAAAGAAATCAGGTTTATCGCCATATTGAGAAAAATGAAACTCAAATGTTAGTAATCTCCAGCTGATAACAAAAGTAAAACAATACTGACATAACAGACACTAAAACCAAAACATGACCTGGTCTTTAAACTGTTTCACAGGAGAGAATCAAGGGGTTAAAAACTGTAAATAAACTTCAAAAACTTACAGTCAACTAGAAATATAAAAGATGGACTCTCTAGAACGTAGCACTGAATGTAACAGTTGGATGATATGCTATATAAATAATTTTTTTAAAGAACATTAGAGAGATTACAATTATAGGAGTAAATGCTGAATAAATCATATAAGCACATTTCTTCAGTTTCCATTCACATTTCTATTCCATGACAACAAAAATAAGTCAATACTTGGAAGATAGCACTGTTCAAGGCAGATTTCCCACAGAGAACAAAAAAAGTCATTTCTCAACCCCCAGTATTGATTAAAAAGCAATATATACCTAGTCACATGTAAAGAAAGGAATTTACAACCTTCAAAAACTAACCACTGCTAATAGCCAGTGGACCGATGATTTAATCCAGGAAGGCAGATCTAATCGGAGCCTATGTTGCAGCATTTAGCCAAGATGGCCCTGATAACACTGAGAATATCACTTACTTTTGACATAAACAGTACTTCCACTTGGCAAGACAACTACATTGGAGGCAGGACTGGCAGGTCTTGGAGACTTAACCGTTGCTATGCTGCCACTTGGAACAGGGGTAGAGGTTGGGGTTGACGTGGTACTTGTGTAGGAATAGCAAACCACTACTGAAGGAACGATAAGAAAGTTTGCTGTTAACTTTCACCAAAACTGTCCACGCATATACAGAAAAGTAATTTTTTTTACTGCAGGCCAATTTTAACATTTTCATGTGATCAGAAGTTAGAGGCCATTACGAGGTATTAGGTCCACTAAGTTAAAAAGTATTAATAACCCTTCCTGAAAATCATCACTTCACTGGGTTTTACTCAAGTATGTAATAGCTGGTCTACAGGTGACATTGCCAATGGAAAAGAGCACAATTATAAAGAAATCAAGTTTAAAACTATACTGAGAAAAATAAAAATAATTTTTCATTCACGGCAAGAGTTAGACAAAAGGCATACTTGTATTCCCTTTTTAATACTGACAGCAGCACCAATGACAGAGTGATGCGTAATTTTTCCCTAACCATGGCAACTTCCAACTTGGCTACTGGGGGGAACCACAGCAAGGTTACTTTATTATAAAACAACTTATAGTCACTTGCCATCCAACCAGTACAAAAATAACTCAACTAAATGACATCATATGTTAATTTCTTGAATGACAACAAGAAGGAAGAATAGTTCATAAGACACCATTTACTGATAGCATGCATTACACTAAATCCTTCTCCATATATTAGCACGAATTCTCACACCACCACATCCTCATTTTAAAGATGAGGAATCTAGGGTTCACAGAAACTTAAGTTGCTGGAGGTTACATAACTAAGAAATGGCTAACTAGGACTCAAAGGCAGAAATCCTATATTCTTTTCACTTTACCAGACAGCTGGTGGATAGAAAAGGTAAAAGTAAGAAGAGAGAAAGATAACTCTCCTACAACAAAGAAAACAGGATTTTGTATATTGGTACCTGTCTCTCTCTAAATATAGCTTCCTGTAGTCAAAAACAGAGCCTGGCATGCATGAAGTGTCTCATTTTGCTCCACAATCCACTGCTAGTCAAGAAACGACAATTCCCTAAAGTAATCTGACAACTTCATTATTTTCAGGGTTACTTTCAAGCAATACCAAACTAAGCTACTAGAATCAATCCGAATACGAGCTCTCAAATTTAATATTAGTCTTGGCGATCTCAAGAGAATTCAAGTAAAGCACATACCAATTACTAGATTAAATAACAATAAAAAAGCCTTCTCCTCTGCCAGGTAATCCCTAATAGACTCAGAACACTGACTAGAACAGAGAAACACCATATACCACTGACTCCAGAAGATAAAACAGAGTTTTATTGTCTAAGTAATCAGTTAGGCATCTTTCCCCAGCAGGTAAGTGACTTCCATCCTTTTTTTTCCTATGTCACCCATTAAGGCCTTTCATGCACTTCTCACAAAACTGATATCAAAAATTCTCTCCAAGAAGGCTTTTGCAATTTTCTGATTAATAGAATTCACACTTTGAATAAAAGGGAGATTTAGTTTTGGCTGAGACTAAAAACTTGGCAGTTTCTAGTTTCAGAGTAAGAGCTGCTTACTGTGTTTTTGTAACCTTCATACACTGGGATTTAAAAACAGATGAAAAACAGGATACCTTTCCTTGAAGAATCTGAGAAAAGCCATCTCTACACACAGAAGTATAGTTTTCTACTCACCTTCCTTGCTTCCGGTTTCTGCAGGCACTGGAAGAGATGCATTGTGCTGGATAGCGGCATTGGCAACAGCGTTAGCTGTTACCGTGAAGGCGGTTTGGGGAACCAACCGGGGCATCAGTGGAACCAAGCGACGACCCTCAATGGACCATTCTGAAGAGCTATTAGGTCCAGACATACTAAACAAAAAAGAAAATGCTGCTACAAGGGTTCTCAATCACTAAAAATGAATCAACTATTTTCTCAAGCAAATATAACTTTTTAAATTATAAAAACTATCCTGAGTGAATAGGAGAGACTTTATTTTAAGCAAGCAAAATCAAAATTATGAATAATTATCAGAATTCAAGGGATTTCACACACAAAGTTCTTACACATTTTATTCTAGAATCTAAATCTTATAATTAACACAACTGAAACTATAAAAAAAATTTTTATGCCTTCTAAACATTGAACTTATTTTCATTACTTTAAATCTGGCATTGCTAATGAAAACTAGTACATCTACTAGTTTTAGACTTAATTTTGTAATTCAACTAAAAAGGTAAAAGGTACTTATAATTTTTAAGATTAGATTTTAATAATTGAGGATAGAATTCACTGAATCTTTGTAAAAATGATCTAACTGCCTGCATGGCCAGAGGTTCTAAGGCTTTCAAACAAGGGAAACTGAGGCAGTAAACGAGGGAGACCAAGTATGGAGGGAGAGAAGAGGGTTGTATATATCACTGCATGTGTCACTGATGGTGTGTTATATTAGTATCCTTCCCATTAAAAAATAAACTAGATCTGAGGTCACTGGAAGAAACCTGCCACTACTTTAATTTTACTTATACCACTCTTTAAGAAATATTTGAGGCCACTGAACTATCTCCCTAAGTAGACACTATTCTGTTTCTCTACTCTAAAAACTTGAGTGAATTTTATCCCAGGAATCCAACTGAAATATGGTTGAAATATGAAAAGACAATTGGGTCACTTCTCTTGATTTGGCTTCACAAAAGGCAGTTGCATCACTTCTCCTAATGATTAGTGTGTCAAGGTTTAAAATATACCCAGAATCAGTTAATCAATCTCTTTACTACATCAGAAATATTTCTGTACCTTTTCCAAACCAAAGATTCTACAACCCAATCTAAGGCTTAAGACCTGAATAGTCCACTGATTCTTCATATTTAGAGAGCGTACACAAAAGCCCTTGTTAGTGGATAATGGAATAATGATGATGATGATGATGATTATGGTAGTTAACATCAACTAAGCACTTTTTTTATGTCAGGCACTATTTTAAACATTTTCTATGTATTAGCTCATAATTCTCTGAATAATCCTATGAAATTGGTAATATTATTATCTCCATTTTGTGGATGGAAAAACTGAGTCACTGGAAGGTTAAATAACTTCCTAAGTTCATACACTTTTGCTGAATGGAACAAATAAATTACTTTACAACTTAAGATTTACTTTCAGTTCAGAAAGGAATTTCTAGTTGATGAATCTAGTTGGGTTACTATAAGAAATTTGCAAACTATTTAATCAGTCCTACCTAAAACGAGGGAAAGAAGAGTTTCTAAAACCCCAATTAACTCCATAAATTTGTTATCACATAATCTCCAATTTGACACTAGTTATGAAATAGAGAATGGTATAAATAAGAGAAACAGAAACGGGCTACAGCTAACTGTCAAAGGAAAAAATTCTAAAAGCTATTTAGTGTTTTCTTAACTGACTCCTATTTTGCTATAATTTTAGTAGAACATCACTAGTAAATTTGCTAGGTGATTGTTTACACATAAATAAAGTTATGTCTACACTTACCTGGTGCATTGTTTAAATGGTGGCAGAAATTATGGAAGATTAATAATTTGAAACACATGTATATTTGCTATTGAAAAGACAGAATTTGCAGTGCAAAAGACAGAACTGCAACTTTTTAAAAAATCTGTAAATCTTCCAAATTTCTACTCATGCAAACATGCTCAAACTTTTTTTAAGTGAGTAAAAAATTATGTTAGAATTAGATTAAGAAATTCCTATTTGCTTAGTAATGAGGGTGTAAATATGCATTAGTTGCACAAATCATCTAAACTGAATTTTACATCTTACTCCGGGGCTTCCCTGGAGCCCCTAAATTTCAATATAAGGATCGCTTCTCTATTTAGATTAAGAATGGCAAGGGAGGGTAGAAACCTTGCTCCAGACCCTTTCCTGAAAAACATAACATGATACTAATGAAACTACCTTTGGCCCTCACATCCTTTGGTATGCAGTGCACCAGCAAAAAAAAAAAATCTTTACCCTCACACAGAAACTCACACACAGTAGCCTATGAATGTCCGGCTTATGGGGAAGGAGTTTAAAAGAACAGTAATTCCAGATAGCCACTTTCTTTGAACGTTAGAGACAGTACTGGCAAGGGGGGGCACAATTAAAAACTCTGAAACCCCTTGACATTCCAGGCTTTAATATTATAATATTCTGACATGTTTCAAACTGAATTCGAGTATCAAACTTAAAAAAATGGTCTGGTGCCAAATAGTAAACACGTGTTATGCTTCCGGCCATAAGCAAGGCTTTTCTTTGATCCCAGAAACCCAGCTCCTTTTGTTTCCACCTCCTTTGTGCTCAATCTTCTCGGCTTTCTCTTCACCTTTCAACCACATTCCTTCTGGCCTAAGCTGCGATTTTGAGTGGGGGAGGGAAGGGCGAGGGGAAGGGAATGTAGTCAGCTCAGATGCATTCCCCTTGGCTCTGGTTGCTTTTTTCCGGCTCAGAGTATGAGGCCATCCTATAGATAATCTTTGGATTTAGGTTCTGTTACTACTTCTGAAGGAAAGAGGGCAGAGGAGGTATAGAGAATAAGGGATCTATGCCTTCCTTAACACTCCACACTCACCAACCCCTGGGCTCAACAAGTAAAATACGACACCTAGTCAAACTAAAACCACAGCATAAAATATTAAAACAGGAGTACAGAAAGACCTAAGAAGCTTTTAAAATTATATGCTGAAGTAAACTCTTCAGAAAATTAAATTCATGTATTAAAGAAATCAGAAAGGAGAGAAAAAAGGAAACACAGGCAGATAAAAGCCAACTCTCAATTATCCATGCTAATAGAGAGAGGAGGGAAAGGGAGAGGTCAAACAGATTAAAGAAATCCACATATTATCCAAAAATACTTTGGTAAATACTTGTAAATTCTTCCACCAAGCCATTTCCAGGTCAACTAACAAGTAGTAAAATGACTAATTAAAATTTTCACCTCCTCTCCCTTCCCACCCTCTGACTAGAGGTACTCCCAAGCAGCAAAATGGCTAAAGGGTGGGCAGTATTAGGAGGGGGAGGAGGGGAAGAGAAGGAAAAGCAGAGGGCACGGTTAATTCGTAAATGGGAATATGTGCCCCTGAATAATTGAGAGCTTCAATTTTGAAATAATACAAGAAAAAGCCTGAAATAATAATAACCTATTTGCATACCTGTAACTTGGTCTTTCACCCAAATATAAGGATAAATTCATTCTTTAAAGGGGAAAAAAGGAAAAGGAGACTAAATAAATGTTATCCTTTAAGTATGAAACTGATGCATCAACTTACAACTAATTGCCCCACAACATTTTTCCAATGCTTTTAAGGTACTAACTGTCTCTAAGTGCCTCTGAATGTTAAGCTATTGTTTACTACTTTATTATCTAGCACATAAGTTTCCTATTACCATCTCAAATTAGAATCTAGGTTCAGTCATTATTTTTAGAGCAACCCAGTTCAAAAGTTTAGAGCAAATTAAAGAAGGAACACATTAATATTTGAATGGTTCAACCATGTTGGCCTGACAACTAAATACTTAATGTCTCTAGTGGAAAAATTCCAAACTTCTACAGTGCATACATACCCACCACTGAAAAACCTCAAAATCCAGATACCTAAGCTTTCAAACTACACAGTTAAAAAGGTAGCACCCCATTTTATAAGTTAAGTAAAATGAGGAACAACGAAGCACAACATGAAGCTAATGAATCTGCAGCGTCAATTCAAATACTGCCAACTGGTTTAAACACACTATTGATCACATTATGGAAATGCACTGAATTTTTTCCTTTAGTTTTATTTCACATTAAAACATAAAAATAAAAAAATAAATGAATTATACTGTAATAGATCTTATTTTTAATGAAATGTTCCTGTCATCTTGCATTAACATTTAAGGATAATTTGTTTCTTTCTATTCTTTAGGAGGCACTATCTCCATACAATGTTTGATCCTTGCCCATAGTCCTCCACCCCCCTCCACCCCCCCATCTGTCACATAGTTATAATGATCTGAAAATAATTTGATAAGAATCCTTCATAATTTTATTTTGTTGGCTTTTTTAAAGTTAAATTAAGATATATTCATATTTCTTAAAAGTAGAACATACATTCTTACAATCTTTTTTCTGACTCTCAAAATACATGAAATATTAGTTATAAAGAAAATATATAATGCCTATTTATAAAGCAATATGTATACCACATACCATTACAAAGAACCTCTAAGGGGCTGTCAAATGAAGGGAGCATACTACTTTATTACTGAACTTTGCTTTAAGTAAGCAAATCATCTGCTAAACTGTGGTGGCCTTTTATCCAGAGATCACATTATAACTGGATTTGACCTGAGTACTTAAAGCTTGCCTAACCAAATGCAAAAACATAACCAACTGAATATAAACAGTTAACACCTCTATGGTCAGGATCCCTGAGTAAAGAAATATTACTATTAAGATAAAAGACTCAGGAATCTGCTATACAACAGGAAGACTGTTTCAAAACTATGTTATACTACGTCATAAAAATCAGGGGTTGTATGACTAATGGCTTACTTATGTGCAATTGTTGTTAACCGTTCATCGTTTACTGCTCTCCGAACTTCAGCACGGTGGCGCTCTGTTGAGATGCTATGAAAAAAAATAGCCATTATAGAACTCTGCCAAGCAGGCAGCTCTTTTCTATATTTTTATTAATGTTTAAGTCAACATTTTGTTTGGGGAAGAGGGGAGACAAGATTGATTTGTGAAAAGATATAGACAGGGCCTAATATATATCTTCAGATGCTTTAATTAAAATCATAGGAAAGGGTTCAAAGTGATTCTGTGTAACTGCAGAAAGAATTAGTTGCAAATTAGAAATCACGGGAAGACAGATCAGCTTGGTAGCAAGTCATTACTTCCAAAACGCAGCAGAAATGTCAGACCATGTTCAAGATTAGCAGAAGTTCCTGTTATCTAAATATGCAAACAACCACTGAATGATCCGTAATTGTGGTTACTGAGAAGATTTTGGCACTTAGAAGCAAGTCTTCTAAAGTTCTTTCTAAAGCTTAAGAATCTATAATTTATGTTCAGTGAATATAATAAAGAAACAAAAGTGGCAAGATAATCTGTTTCCTGTGGGTATATGCTATGAAATTTGACACCAAGACATTACTCCCCTACTCAACACTTCAGCTGTATGTCTTCTACATTACACCATTACCATTCCAGTCAAAATGTGCAGATATTGATCCTGACTAAATACACGTAAAGTTAATACTAAACAAGTGAAAAAAGGCTACACCCATTCCATTAGTAAATATTCAGTAAAATGAATAACCACTCTTCAAATTGTAATCTTTACTGCTTTAGCAAAATCTGTATCATGGACTAAAATATAAAATAGTTAAGGGGCTGGAAAGCAGATTTATGGGGAACCACAAAGAACAAACAAAAAATATATAAACTATTAAATATGAAGACAATAAGATTAAGGATTTGACTTAATAATATCCCTATATCCCTATATCTTATAATATCAATATCTATATCAACCATAGATAGGAAAAGACTTCTCTATTTTCATTTAAAAAAAAGAACAGGACAAAATGGTTTTAAATGTAGAAAGGAAACTTCAGTTAAAACAGTATTTTCGGAGAAAGCTCAAGATGTCAGAATGGATCAAGACAGGTATCAAAGAATTCCACTCACTAGAATTTTTTAATGGATTCAAGTGCCACTCTAGCCGGAAAATGGGGGTATAAACTATCTGCAGGGCTATGACTATATCAAAACCACCCATTTCTATAAATTAAGATAATAGCTTCCTAGTATGTCCTTCTTCCCTCCCAACAAATGACACTGGGCCACCCAAGTCTTCAGATCTTGTTGCTACCAGGTCTTCTTCCCTTCACCCATGTCAAAAATACCTCCCCTTCCCAGGTGACCAAAACCTAAAATAACCTGCCTTAAACTCTTTCTGGTTACAGAATAAATGATAAATTACATAACTTTCTGTAAAAAGCACACAACTAGGATGAACTAAGTACCAACAACCTGAACAACTCTGTCTTCAACTTGAGAATGAAAAGTATTAAAACTCCTCAAAATGAAATTTCTAGAGTCACATCTCACAAATTTTTATGATAATTTACCTAAGAACTTTTGAGAGTTCTCCAAGAAGATCTTTCTTTTCCTTGGTGAGATCCCCCTGTGCCCGAAGTGCACTGATAACTCCAGCATATGCCTCCAATTCTAGAAGAAGAAAATTATTTTATCAAGATAGGCCTTCAATATTTTAATACTGTGGCTACATATAGTGAAACTTCAGGGCAAAAAAACCTAGAAATCAATAAAAAAAAATCAACACACATAATTTTTAAAGTTCCTCTCAAAAATGTTATCTAAGAGCACTGATTAAAATGTGGTTTTTATAATTGTATATCTTTTTTTTATTGTGTCACAGAAGTCATGTGTACAAAATGTTTAGGTAGAAAAATCTAATGGTAAGTATTTTATCTCACACATTATCACTGAAGAACATGTAATTCTGATGTTACCAACAATTGGGAACAGGCTCCAAGTGATACAAGGCTGATAAGAGAAATTTTTAGCTTTACTGACAGGTTACCTACAATGACCAATCCTTGAAATAATTCCTTAGTCCTGCCTAGAATTCAAACTACATTCTACCTCCTTCCTGGGGTTGAGAATACAATGAGTAATGCACAGTAGAAAACTCCTAGAACAAGAGTCAAATGACCAGATTCTGGTTCCAGCACTCCCACTTACTAGTTGTGTGACCTTGGGCAAGTTCTTTCTCACTCTTGAACCTCAATTTCTTTATCTAGAAGAAACATCGAAGGTATCTTCCAGATCTAAGATCCTCTGCATCTACCATCGAAATGACTAAGACCGGTTAGGAAACATGAGTTGCTCTTATAGCAACCAGCATATAATATACTGAACCCTAATGCCAGATAGTTTCATTTCACTATCTTTCCACAGCAACAACCATTATGAAATGAAACTGCCAGTCTCCAATACTGGTTAAAATATAAAAGCAAAAAGTCCTCACTGGCTTCCAATGAACCATGCCTGTCTCCCAGCACACTCCTTGGGCACTGTACTACTTTTGAATACTCCCTTCCCACATTGACTCTGAGCTTGGCATGTGACTTGCCCTGGCCAGTGGAACATCAGCATACATAATGCAAACATTATGTATGAAGCTCACTAACATTTACCTGCAGGGCCTTGCTCTCTCTCTCTCTCTTGAGATCTCTCTTGAGATAACCAAGCTGCGAAGAAGACCAGAATAAAGGCCACATGGAGAGAGGCCCAGCCATCTGAGCTAAGCCCAGCAAACCAGCTAACATACCAGCTGAATACGCCACATGAGAGCTCGGGCAAAACCAGCAACCACAGAATCAAAAGAAATAATAAAATAGTCATTTTATGCCACTAACACTATGAGACAGGTAAATCTAAGCAAACTAGAATGATAGGAGTAAGTGTCCAAACTACAAGTTATCTTCTTAGTCAATTCAAGCTGCTACTAGTATTTGGTATTTCCCAAGGCCTGACGCACAAATAATGAAGGTATACATATGTGCATCTTAGGTACTGCACCAATAATAAACAAGTAGCCTTGTTTAGTTCATGTTATTCACAGTTCTGAGAGCCAAAAAAGAGTGAGCTGACTATAGTAAACAGAAATGTCAATCCATGGGGTGTCTGGGTGGCTCAAGTCAGTTGGGTATCTGCCTTTAGCTCAGGCTGTGATCCCAGGTTCCTGGGATTGAGGCCCCACATCAGGTTCCCTGAACAATAGGGAGTCTTGCTTATCCCTCTCCCCTTGCTCCTCCTCCCTGCTGGAAAGAAATGTCTGATCCAACTGAATTATCCCATGTGTAAACATTTTGCATATTCAATCTATGCTGAATACTATGTAGATGTTTCATGGGGTATCTCTGGAAGAACAAAGCTTGCCTGCTCTTAGAATAGTGAAGGAAATACTTAGTACCAAGAAACATTTATTTCAGCTTTTATCAGGACCCAAAGTAAAGTTCAGAAAGACAATGGGAATAACCAACTAAGAAATCACTATACTGAAAGTTTACACCTCATTTCAACAGATCAGTACTGAGTCCCTTTATATATACCAGATAGTATGCTAAATCCTGCCTTCAAGGAGTTAACTCTAGAATAAAGCTACAGTGAAACAAGTCATCAGACAATGATGATACAGTTTATAATACAGTGGTAAAAGCAAAGAGAAGAAAACACATCACCCAGTCTAGAAGCATAAGCTTTTATCAGAAAGAGAAATGTGCTCTAAGCAATTAGAAAAAAAATGCAAATATGCAGAAGGAATACATTAAAAGAGCAAATAATGTCTCATACAGACATCAAACTTCCAGGAATAGTCAGTGAATATTTTTGGAGTTCTACTTTAGTATAAGTAAAAATATGTCTGTATTTGGATAGTCACTAACTCAAACCAAATTTAACTGCACCTTACTACTACTACAAGGTACCATGGAGAATATCTACATGAATAAAACAAAGTCCTATCCTCAAGGTAATTAAAATCAAAGAAGAGACCTGTACATAGGAATAAAGAAGGACAAAAATGGAAAAGTAGTTTGGGGCCAGACTAAGCCTCTAGTTCCAGGCTAAAAAGCTTTTATTGGATAGGACCCAGTAGTTGATTGAATGTGGAAGGAATAGCAGAAGGAAAGGAAACAGATTTTGTAGTCCGCAAGATATTTAGGTGAAGGGCAATACCATAAAAAGAAATGGAGAGGTCAGAGAGAGGAAATGGTATGAGAAAAAGAAAAAGACGTTCACTTTTGGCCTATGCAATTTATGGTGATCAAGATACTACTTCAAAAAGAGTGAAATTAATCAAAGAAATGCAGCAAAGGTTTTTGACATTTCAAGTCTCGTTCTAACTAAAAAGTCATGGACAAAAGTTAAGAGGTGGTAACCTCACACTAAACCAGAACTCAGACCACAGTTACAGTCACACAATCTGAGGCACTTCCTCCATTCTCCAGAAATTCACTCATTGTAAAGAACCTTTACTGATTTCCCAACTTCCTTGACATATGATTTCCATTTTGATGGGTATCCTCAGATCCTGACAAATATCAAACTTAATTGAATTTCTCATCGTTTTGGTGCCATTCTATTGTAGTATTAACTCCAATGGCACATAAATATAAGAGATACATGCAAACACCACGGAAAACAAAGATTTGCCAAATCACTCTATAAAGTACTCAACGTTCCATTTAAACAAATCAGCCATTCAATTATACTACAATCCATGAAGCCCCATGTTGGTGTTGTAACTGAGGAATGTTTTTTTTAAAATAAGGCATGGGAAAGGCAGGATAGAAAGAGGGAAGCATTTATCTATCACTGGCATGTTCAGTATAGTATTAAAAAAATTCTTGGGGCGCCTGGTGGCTCAGTTATTAAGCATCTGCCTTCGGCTCAGGTCATGTGGGATCGAGCCCCAAACGGGCTCCCCGCTCAGCAGGGGGCCTGCTTCTCCCTCTCCCACTTCCCCTGCTGTGTTCCCTCTCTCCCTGTATCTCTCTGTCAAATAAATAAATAAAATCTTAAAAAAAAAATTCTCGATCTCAGTGTTTTTTATCTAAGTAAAATTTAAATGTTTAGCATTTTATGTTAAATGATTTATAACTATTTTTAAAAGCACAAACTTAATTGTTAAAATATTTTAAGTTAATTCTTAAATACAGTACTTTCTCTAAACTTTGGACCGAGAGCTAGTGTTTGAAGGCAATTCAAAAGTTTCATTGTTATGATAATGAGCCAACGGGTGGGGAGGAAGTCTTTCTGCAAATCACTATCAAGACTCACCTCCCAAAGTGAAGGGTCATTGAAGATGACATTACCCTGTAGGAAGGCTGTTTTCTTTTGTATAGAAACAGCTCTCCCGCAATATTACCCACACAGCTCTGGCTAAAGTTAAGGATAAATTTAGACTTAAAGGTTACCATTTTTATATTTAAACATAATCTCTTGACTCAAGGCCCCAAAAGCCCAGAAACTCTAATCCAATATACTGTAGTTGGGATCTGTTCATCTGCAATTATTTTAGCTATGTATTAAATAGCAGTCCAACTCTATAAACGGTAGATAGCAAGCTATAGCAATTGCATGCAAGTGTGTAGAAAATCATCCTCGAATTAGTACTAAAAGTTTGGATATAAGGTTAAAGGAAGAAAATGATAATGGATGATTGCCCAAAAAAGCTCTCTAAACATGCTAAAATACAATGCTAAGAAATAGTTTAAAATAAGAGAAATCCTCCCAGTGGCCTGATGGGAAATAAAAAAGATAATGTTACTAGCAGACAGCACCAGGGCAGCTATGATTCAGATTTATACAAAAGAATTCCCAACAAAGATCTCCTCTGAAGATTCTCCTGCAAATAATGTCTGAAAGCAACTGCTCTAAAACACTATACCCTCAGATGTCAAGCACTATGGTAGGACCCTTTTATATACAATGAATCCACATAACAAACTTATGAGGCAGATATTATGCTTTTTTTTTACAAAAGTGTCAACACATTTAAGGAGATTAAATAAACTGTCCTTGATCCTGTGGGTCATTAGTGACAAGACCAAGACCCCAGGTCCCTCTGAATTCAAGGCTCACACTTTCCCCTTTAAAATTATAAACAAATAATTCATATCCACTTCCAAAACATTTAATGTTCTTCTTCAAATTATTTTTTCATTTACTGAGCACTCACTATGTGCTAGCCTGAGACTATAGTGGTAAAGAAGACACAAGGTCATTCTTGGACCTTAGAGTCTAAGGCATTCGTTCTCAAACAAGGATCTTCATTTGAGCCACAGAATATAAAAAATGAGTTGAGTAACTTTCTCAATTTTCTCAAGAATAGTACAAAACTATTACCATTCTAAATGCATAAAAAGAAGTTAGTTCATAAAATGTTACATACAATGGATTAGGCTTGGCATTAGTGCTTAATTCTCTCCCTAAATGCTAGTTGAGAAAGGCTCCTCTCAAGGAAAAGCAGCTCAAAATAATGAATTATAAACATAAAGCATGTTTTATTACTGACTGTAAACATAATTTAGGAAAGTCAGCATAGTTAACATTTACTTAGAATTCAGAAACAGTTTATAATTCACACATACATTCATGAAGATTAAAATAATGCTAAAGTAAGACTGGAATCATATTCCCTGGGTTACACTCCTGACTCCCTGACTTATATTATCAGCATCACGTTGAATTCTAAACTTCAGTTTTGTCATCTGTAATATGGAAGCACACACATACACAAATACCCACCTTTCCCATTTGAGTGAGGATTAAATAAGATATTGAATGTAAAGAACTCCAAATAGCCCAGCACCCCTCAAGAACTCTGAGCTACTATTTTTATTATTACGGTCCATGCATCTACTAAGTAAAAAAAGCACTATGCTAGGCAGTGGGGAAATAACAATGAGAAGATGAAAAGTGCACCTCTAAAGAATTTCTAATGCAGCATGAGATGACATCCAGGCAAACAGCCATGACAAAGACAGAAAGGGAAAAGTATCATAGAAAGGTATAAACATCAAAAACGAAAATCATACCCAATTTTCTAAGAATCCTTTTGCATTCATCCCTGCTGAGATCCAAAAGGGTTGGCCACACAACAGGCATTGCTGCTTCTTTTTGGTAGCCCCAAAGAGCTTGTCTTCCCTACCAAAATAAATGAAACAAAAATCAAATTACCAAAGTACATTCAAAGGCCACTTACCTGGAGATCCACACACTAAGAAGTAAAACCAGTAAGAACATCTCACAATCCTATTTCACCACCACACTTTTCAACTTCTGATAAATGAAGAACTAAACAACCATTCCGCAGCTTATTATTCCAGCATAGGGCAGTGGAAAGAGCACAGGCTTTAGGGTCAGACATCTCTAGTTTCTAGTTCCAGCTTTCAACTCACTGGCTGAGTGATCCTGGTAAAGTGGACTATCTGAACAAAAGTTTTGCACATCTGTAAAACAGAAGTACTATCATCCAATCTGTTTAAGGATTAAAGAACAATACGTGAAGTTCTTATGATAGTGGCTGGCACGTTGTTTAATAAATAGGTGCTACTACCCGTGTAACCTTGCCCAAGTTACCTGATTTGTGTCTGGTTTCTCACTTGCGAGTTACAAGAGATAAAACACATATACCTCCTAGCACGTTACATGGGCTAATGGAACTTAACTAAAAACTTTCTTCTCAAGTCTTAACAATGAGCGATGAATTTACACTCTGTATTAAAGAATCATTTACCAAAAGTTTAGATGTCAGGAACTTATTTCATACTGGGAATTGCCTGGTCTAGAGGATAAAAAGACAACAGCGCTGGGCGCTTGCACAATACCTGCTTAGCACACGGTAGACCCAGTGTAAATATTTGTTGAGTAGATGAATGAAGATAGAGAAGAGTGGGTAAAATGAATGAGTAAGTGAGTAAGTGAGTGAATGAGCCAGCTCAATGTCTAGTCGAGGAGTCAGGCACCGAACCGTAATAACTGCTACATCCCGTTCCAGGCACTGGGGCTCCTAACTCCAGCTCTGCGCCCGGAGTTGATCCCCCCCTCCTCCGACTTCCCATAGTCCTCTCAGCTACAAACCAAGCCAGAGCAAGGAGAACGGGACTGCGCGCCCCAGCCGGGAGGATGACATAAAGAAAAGGGGTGGGGAGGAGGAAGAAGGGGCAGAGCCAAAGGAATCCGCTCCCTCCACAGGCCAGTCCCCGCCCCCCCGACAGGATCTTGGAGGCGGCCGGCGACCGCCCGAATCAAGCACCACGTCACGGCATCCCGACGCGTCCCCGCCAGCGCACCCCACCGCGGGGCCGCAGAGCACTGGAAATCTAGGCAGCAGTAGCGGGAGCCCGCTCCGGAGCCGGGATCTCGAGTAATCCTTCCCCCACTCAAGTGTCAAGGAGGCGAGCCCGCCCCCCCCCCCCCCCCAACACGCACCCTCTCCCCGCCCCACAACAAGAGCAGCCCGCCCACCCTCCTCACCGGTGCCGCTCAGCGCCAACCCCAATGTCAATCCCACTACCCAAACCCTTCAGGACCAGTAGCCGGTGTCACGGGCCCCAGCCGGCATCAGCACCTCGCTCGCTCCCTCAGCGGAGAGGACAACGGAGAGAGTAGGCGCGCAGACAGCCAGACGGACGACCGAGACTCACCGGGAGCCTCCCAAAGCTGGACCCCGAGGATCCCAGCACCAGGCCTGCCAAAGTCCCCCTCAGCCCACCTCGGGGAGCCCCACATCCCGTTAGGAGACAACGGAGGATGGGGCTGGGCGCCCCAAGCCGGGGACCAAATGGCTGGCCCGGGGCTCCTCCAGCCTGGCTAACCTGCCAGCTCTTCCCAGCACCCTATCTGAGAGTCACCCACCTGCCCGGCCTTTCGGGGCTCATCTAAAAGGCTCCTCCGCCAAGACTAGGGAACACCAGGAATTGGGTTTGTTTGCGGTGCCTCAGAAGGGGCAAGATGGCGACAGGCATTAGGGCGCAAGCGCAGCCGCGCGCTGCCAGTCGGGAGGTGTAGTTCGCCTTTCCCGCCTTTCGGAGAACAGACTCCAGAAGGCCGCCGTTCTCCCAGTCCCTCTTTTCCTCCGCGTTTTGAAAGGAAAGAGGAGACATCGCGGGAGGTTCTGGGAATTGTGGTCCGAAACCAAGCTCCCTTCTCTTTCGCTCTCTGTATGCTGTCGTAGGCGCAAGGAAGGCCGGGATTGTAGTTTCCTTGGCTTCTCCTCCATACCCTCCTCTCGGGCTTCGCGCGCCTCTCCTCCGGCTGCTGTCTCCCAACCAATCAACTGCGTTCTTTGCTACGTGTGGCGTCACACGTAGAGGCCAAAATGGCGTCGGTAGCTGGAGCCGAGGGCTTACCGAGACCTTTACTCTAGGCGAGGTTAGGGACCGTAGGAAAGAAGCTTTATCCCTGAACCGCCGTTCAGGATTAGTATCGGATTCCTCAGAGTCATGGGAGCAATTACCAGAGGCCTCCAGCCCCCACCAGACGCAACTCAAGGAGAGAATCCACGCTACAGGAACCGACATAGCGGACGCCTCAATTGCCCAAACCCAGTTTGGGGGTTGCGAAGTTGCCAATGGATAAGGGGAACCCGAGCGTTCTCCACTTCGGGTTTCTCCACGTGTGAAGTGGGAATGATAGTGATATCTCGTGCTTTAGCTGTCAAAGGGAAGAAGGAGAAGGTATTTATTAGAGGCCCTACGGCGTGGTAGGTTCACCCTTCTAGCCTTTGTTCTAATTTAATCACAGAACAATTGTGCGAAGAAGGTATTATTTGACCCTATTTTAAGTATGAGATAAGGGACCCAGTCTGTAGTTTCTCGTGGCCATAAAATCGAAGCCAGTGCTTGGTATTGTAGAAGATTCAATCGCAAGTTTTGTGATTGTTCTTCCTCTTAAAGTTTGTACTTTCGGGAATGTAGGATCTGGTTAAAATGCCCAAGTCAAATGGGGTTCTTAATACGCTTTCTGATATTAACAGTTTTCGTGTAAAATGGGGTTAATCGTACCCTATGGGGATGTTGGTGATACACAACATAGAAAAAAGTTATTTGTAAATTGTGGACCTCTGTGCAAACGTGTGAGACTGGTGATATTCCGAATGGAGCTATAGCTTAAAAAGAGAAAATAAATAGCATCTAAGTTTCTTATTTCTCTTTACCCATTAGCTAAAAATAGTCTCTGAGGTCCCAGAAAATTGTTATCGTTGAAATCCAAACCTGCCCCTCCAGAAAGTCATGAATTGGGACAGATAATACCCAGGCCCTTTTCTCCCTCCTTGATCTTAAAATGCATTCTGTTCCATCTATTTCCCACCTGTTTTCAGGTCAGTTACTTAACTTTTGGAAAGATGGTAAAAGAAACTTCAGTTTTGGGGCACCTACGTGGCTCACTGGGTTAAACCTCTGCCTTCAGTCCCTGTCGTGATCTCAGGGTCCTGGGATCCAGCCCCACATCAGGCTCTCTGCTCAGCAGGGAGCCTGCTTCCTTCTCTCTCTCTGCCTGCTGCTCTGCCTACTTGTGATCTGTCAAATAAATAAAATCTTTTTAAAAAGAAAAAAAAAAGAAACTTCAGTTTTGTAGTTTAACATACATTCTTTGAGCCTCACAGCATCTCAGGTAGGTATAATTTAGATCCTCCTTACACCCCCACAAACACGTTTGAATGAGGAAAACACAGAAATTGAAGAACTCACCCAATTTCACAAAGCTAGGAATTAAAGTGAAGTGGACTTTATAACCCCACGTTTTCTGACTTCCAAGTGTCTTCCTCTAAATCAGATGTCAAGGTGACAGTAATGGAGTAGAAATGGAAAGACAAGCTGCTTATAAAACTGACTCTGACCATAATACGTAGCATATAAGTCAAGAATTATAGCTAACTCTTGTGCTTACCTGGTGCCAAGTATTATTATAAGCATCTCACATATAAATCATTTAGTCCTTAAAATTTTACGAGGTAGAAACTATTATTTCTAAATTACAAATGAGAAAACCGAGGCACAGGAAGGGCATTAAACAACTTGCCTAGAGTCATACATTTGTAAGTAAATAATAAAGCCAGGACTTAAGCAGCTTGACTCCAGCGTCTGCTCTAGACCAGTGGTTCTCGAACTTGCATGTTCAGTAGGAACTACCTGAGGATCCTGTCAAAAATTCCCATTTGACTGAGTTATGTCTAGGTAAGGCCTAAGATTCTATGTTTCTTCCTTTAAAAAAAAAAAAAAAAGATCTTATTTATTTATTTGAGAGAGAGAGACAGAGTGAGAGAGAGCATAAGAGGGGAGAAGGTCAGAGGGAGAAGCAGACTCCCCGTGGGGCTGAGAGCCTGATAGGGGACTCAATCCCAGGACTCTGGGATCATTACCTGAGCCGAAGGCAGCTGCTTAACCAACTGAGCCACCCAAGCATCCTAAGATTCTATATTTCTTTTTTCTTTTTTCTTTTTAAAAAGATTTTATTTATTTGACAGAGATCACAAGTAGGCAGAGAGGAAGGGAAGCAGGCCCCCTGTCGAGCAGAGAGCCCAACTCATGACCTGAGCCAAGACAGAGGCTTTAACCCACTGAGCCATCCAGGCGCCCCAGATTCTGTATTTCTAACAAAGTCCCAATCTATCATATATCCTTCCTTTCCTCCTAATTACATATGTTTGTACTTTGTGGCCAGAATCTGCCTTCCCCATTCTGCCTCTGATTGCTCCATGTTCCCAAATATTCCCAGTATTAACTTCATTAAGGTTCAGAGTCAAACTTTATCCTCAAGAAACGTATCCTGGGGGCACCTGGGTGGCTCAGTGGGTTAAAGCCTCTGCCTTCGGCTCAGGTCATGATCTCAGGGTCCTGGGATCAAGCCCTGAATCGGACTCTCTGTTCAGCAGGGAGCCTGCTTCCTCCTCTCTTTCTCTGCCTGCCTCTCTGCCTGCTTGTGATCTCTGTCTGTCAAATAAAATAAATAAAATCTTTAAAAAAAAAAAAAAAAAGAAACGTATCCTGGGGTGCCTGGGTGGCTCAGTGGGTTAAAGCCTCTGCCTTCAGCTCAGGTCATGATTTCGGGGTCCTGGGATCAAGCCCCACATCGGGCTCTCTGCTCAGAAGGGAGCCTGCTTCCTCCTCTCTCTGCCT